AGTAAAACGACTTGTAAAGATTTGGTTCTTTTCCTGGCTCAAAAGAACTTGAACTTCAGACTCACTGATTGTTAAAAACAATCTGTGTAGATCAGGTGTGAACAACCTTTTGACTTGCGGACCACAATTGTCAGCAGCTACATGGAGCGTTCATGTGAACTAAGATAAGCCTACACCACTGTGTAGACCAGGTGTGAGCAACCTTTTGACTCGAGGGCCACAACTGTCCTAAACTTTGACAGCAGGGCTGGGTCAGGAGCAAATGGAGCGTTCATGTGAACTAAGATAAACAGGGCTGGGTCAGGAGCAGATGGAGCATTCATGTGAACTAAGATAAATGGGAAATGTGGATATTGCAGTGAAAAGGCAGAAGTATAATGATAAAATAAATAAATTATATCATTTGGGAAAGTTTGGCAGGCCTGATTAAAAAGCCGAACGGACTGCATCTGGCCCCCGGGCCTTAGTTTGCCCATGCCTGGTGTAGATGCTGCACGATATTTAGAAGAGCTAACAATGGGCTTTGTGTTAAGACTGAAATCAAGTGTTGTCTCGACGGCTGTTAGAGAATCTGCCCAACCCTTAGCTAATTACAAACAACGTCAAGATTTTACAATATTTCATGAGGAGACATTCTTCTGGATTGACCAATCACATCAAAGTGTTCGTAGAGAAATTTTCTTACGTTGTGGATACAACCAGTTACAAACATAAATATCAGAGGAACTCTGGATAAATCTGATTGACTGTCAAAAACCCCACAGAACCTTCTGTCAACGCTGAAGCTAAAAGGAGGCCGTACGGGGAATAACTGAGACAAACATAAATATCAGAGGAAATCTGGATAAATCTGATTGGCTGTCAAAAACCCCACAGAATCTTCTGTCAACGCTGAAGTCAAAAGGAGGCCGCACGGGGAATAACTGAAACTAACTTCTAAATTTAATCCCCTGCTGCCAAACCTGTAGAGTTGGTCTTCAAAACGTCAAACTAATCCAATCCACGACTGCACACGTTCATCAGACCAGAGTAGAAAAGACCAGACGGGCCATCTGAACTTAGATGAAGAAGTGTTGAAGAATCTGGAACATTTTCTTGTTTATATAGAACCATTTCTGACATTGTTACCGATGCTTTCAGAAGAGTCGCTCAGGATGCAAAACCTCACTGATAAAACAAAAATCATCTCTTATTGTGAGGTCAAGGTCAGTGACCTGCAGTTAACTAGTTGGGTTGTGTCATAGCGTTATAAAAGTGTGCAGATGTTTTTTAATTTTTTTAAAAAAAATGACAAGTTACCTTGAAATAGGGTTGGATGTTTTTTTTTTTAATATTTAAATGACAAGTTACCTTGAAATAGGGTTGTAAGAAAATATCCATACACTGATATATCGCAATATTTAGTTTCATGATATGTATCAATATTCTACAGCAATGTATCGATTTCTTATTAATATTTCACATGCAAATATTCATGGTGTTGGTATGTTTTGTTTTGCTTTTATTTCTTCTCTAGCGATTACAAATGGCGAGTCCACTGTTGCGATTTCACTAACCTGATGTTAAACGTGTTGGCGATTCCTCTGTTGGGATTTCACTAACCTGATGTTAAACGTGTAACAGCGTTGTGTGTTTACTACACTGACAGTTTTCGTACAATTAAATTGTTAAAATAACGCAATAAATCGTTGTGCCTTTAGTATCACAGTGCATCGCAATTTATCGTACTTTTGCACCTGTTAATGATACATATCGTAGCAATCGTGTGCCAATACACACACATACACACGAAGTTTGAAACCAGAGAAATTAAATGGCAACTCGTGGACCAACTCTTTGTGTCACCTGAGAGTGAAATACATCCGTGTGTGAGTTGATATGAAACACAAAAGGCTACAGTTCACACTTTGATGTGAAAAATGAGTTTGGGATAAAGAACAGGAGGACAGATGACAGGTCAGGAGAAAATACAATTACTGGCGACTATTGTTTACAAACCGTTCCATTCTCAACTTCAGGTCAGACCGAACTTTCCTCCCTGACTGAAAAACCTCTGCCTCCTGCTGGGAGACGTTCTCAACCATGAACTTTAAAAGTGGAGGAAAATCATAAAACAATAATGTGACACCTGAGGACCAGACGAGTCCATTGTTAAGACGGTGGCTGATTAAACAGGTTGACAAAAAAAGAATCAGTTGATAACTGATGCTTATTGAAAGGCTGATCATGAATTTTTCAACTTACTGAGTCGTAATCGGAGACCGAGCCAGCTCCTTGGTGGCGATTTGTGCAGAACTGAATTCATGCTCCACTTGTTTGGCACCATCAAGGCATGCGATCCTGGTCTGGTCTGGTCAGGTCAGGTCAGATGTGTCCTGTCTGTCTCTGTCCCCGTCCCTGTCCTCGTGTCTCAGTCTGGATCGGTTTAATGAGCAGTTGTCTCTATGACATTTTCACTTCTTCTTCTTCTCGTCCTTGCCGCTGCTGCTGCTGCTGCTCCCAGGCTGCAGGCTCTGGTTTGTGGCGAGCACAAAGCTGCGGGTGAGTGCAGGGAAAAGAGTAGCAAAAAAGCATCCCTCGTTTTATACCACTGAGGAACGAGCACGAGTCCAAGTGCAGGGAACGACGAAGCTGGAAGTCTGGCCCAGTCCAAACAAAGACTCGAAGGTAAATAGAACCTGTTGCCTGTGTGCACGCAGGCAAACAGGAGAGAGAGAGAGAGAGAGAGAGAGCTCCTCGACGAACACTGTTTGTAAACTGCAGCTCTGAGGTGGGATTAAACCGAGAATTGAAGCCGATCCCCGGTCTTTAGAGCAGCGACTCCACGGCTAGAAAGGTTCCGTCTCTTAGTTCCAAAACAAAAGGAGTTAAAACACACACACGTACACCGTCTGCTGCGTCCTCGGTCTCGCCGCTTTCCCACAGATCAACCATCAGCTTCTTCCATTCATTCACACAACCTGGGTCCACAAAGACTCACTTCGCTGCAGTTCCTCGCTGCAGTGACGCAGTTAGGCCGCTAGAGGCGCAGAAGGCAGAGACCTTACAGCATATCCGTTCATCTATGTGCACGCAGCAGATTCTGGATTCAGTTAGTCCGCGGAGCTCTCCGGTCTGGACTGTTTACAGAGGCACGGTCCAGTCTGACACAGCATGTCTCAGGCAAGCCCACCACAGAGCACGACTCTCCATAGGCCCCGTGGGGGGGGCCGCCAGGGGCGCCATCTGCTGGAGGAAGTGCTGCGGTTAGCCCTCAGAAATTAAACAAAACGATAAATAACATAAATATATAGTTTCTCCAACGGGAGTTTTTTCTTCGTGCTATTTCTTGAAATAAACAAAATATGACTTCCTAATAGCTTAACCCACCGTAAAAAAAAATGTTTTCTCCTTTTTGTATTGTTTGATTTTTTTTTTAATTATTATTCACATCTGGAACAGCGTTGGTACATCGTTGAACCGTTTAAATTTCATTTATTTTATTTTTAATAAATAAATAAAAATGTTATTAACGCATTGTAATTCAGGTGTGTTGTTATATTTGATCAACAAGTCTGTCATTAGGCTGTTGTCCGTCAGTGTTTGGGGTGGACTGGGTGGGCGGTGCCACACCATAACATTGCCCTGGGCCCCAAATTGTCCAGGACGGGCTTTCGATCTACAAAGGCAACATATCGTTAGTTACACGTTATATCGAATCGTTCCAGAAAGGGTTTTTTTTGTTTGTTTTTGTTTGTTTGTTTTACAAACGGGGGGAACCTCAGACCTCAAAGCCCACTGGCTTCATTCATATGCATTTTAAAATATCTTTCAGATAAGACGACTTTAACACATCATTGACATTTAGAAATTTACATGAGGCAGCATCAGATAGAAGCAGAAGGTAGTTGTGACACAAAGGTGTCTGTGGGGTTATTTCGGGGGGGGTGGGGGGTGTCGATAATGTAAATCCCCCCGGGGCCGACTGTTGCCCAGGTGTTACTCAAAACCTAAATTTAGCAGCAGACACAAATGCCCTTTTTATTCATGTCATGTATTTTTTTCACAATCAACCAATTTTTGGACAAATAATTCGCATTTTAGCACAGATGTGTTTGTTGTTTCTCATCACTCAGCCTGTCTGGCCGCTCCATTACTGTGGGCGTTGGCTTTGGTCGGCGTGAGGTGGACAGGAAGACATGTGATGTGACGAAGCCAAAACAATGACTCTGCCAAAATGTCACTGCACTCTGTTTTAATGCAGCCGTCCTCAATAAAAAAAAAGAGGCGGAGGACAGTGAACAAAGAACGGCCGGGAGGGGGGGCAGGTGGGGTATGTTAAAACAGCCCACTTAACAAATTAGCAATTCTCCACAGCCAGACTGCCTGTTTATGGCCCCGTGTGCTCCGTCAGGTCCTCCTCTCAGACCCTGCACATGTGACTTTATATACAGCTTCACACTCTTGTTAAATATGCTGCTTTTAAAACCAGCATTAAAGATAAAACCAGTCTTTGACATTTTTTTTTTTTACTGTATTCATTTTTTTGTCCTCACTTTAGAAAAAAAAAAATCTGTGCCGGTGACAGGACAATCACAATACATATTTGCTGCCCCCTAGTGGTACAAGCCGTAGCAGTAAACAACTTTTTAACTCAAGTATAATCTCATCCAAAAAACCGAAAATTCATAGTTTGGGCCATATGTGACTGCAAAGAGAATTAATTTATACAAATAGTTAGAGGCTTTTCTGATACAAGCTTGTCTGACCTGAAGTTTTAGCCTTTGCTGGAGCTGCTTGTGTTAAACAAAGTTTTCCCACATAGGTGTGTAAAAAAAGGTGTGTAAATAACGTTATTTACCCTCTCACCAATACAGTTAAAGTATTGGATATACTGTGCACATTGTTCTAATGTAGCTAATGTTTGTTGTTCCTCATGTCTTGGCTGGTAGCCTCGTCTGTTTTTCAGTCAAGCAACTTCAGCAAAGGTCAGTCACCGCACAGTGAACGATGTCCAACACTTTTAAGAATCAAAACTAATAAATGTCTTTATTTTTTTAACGACAGTGAGAGACACTGGTTAATAAATGAGAACGTGGTGAACAAATGTAGCATTCTTTTTAAGGTCTGGCAGGTTTACTTCAGGAATGTCACCTACAAACAAGAGCTTTATCTACAACGGGTGATGATCATGTCCATGTGACAGTGTCAGAGGTCAGAAGGGTCAGCTCTGTGCGAATAAACCTTGAAATGAGAGAAAAGGAATTGAAAATCCAGTCTCAACACTGGGTCTGTCTGGAAGGTGAAGAAGGACAACGTGGTCACATCCCCAGTTGACTGGGCCTCATTAGTCCCTTGTAAACTCGCAGCTTCCCTGCACCGGTCAGGTCAAAACTGTAGTCTGAGGTGATGTAGGGCTTCTCGGCATCAGAGTCAGGCTGAAAAACAAAAAAGGAGTGTTGTGTAAATTGTTTTAGGTGGAACAAGGCCAAGGGTTCTAAAGATGAGGGCCGGGGTCTGACCTGTGCTGTGAGGACACAGGACGGCAGCACTATTCCCCCTAGGAGGAGACAGTTGACCTTTCGAAGGATGGCGGGATCTACAGGTGGCAGCAGGAAGTACAGACCTCGGACCATGTCAATGCCTCGAAGCACGCCTGAAACACACAACACAGAAACAAGAATTGTTTGGACAACTTTTCAATTGCTTGCTGTTTTAAGTTATGTGAAAATTAAAGTGACCAGTGAGGATGAACAACAGAGTGACTTAAACCCAGGGACATACCAAAGCCCACACATGAACAGATGGGAGCCCGGGTCAGCAAGACCGGACCTCCCCTGCTGGATATTTTCTCCCCCAGGCAGCAGAGACCCACCAGGGAGGCATTGGCAGCATAGAGTATGTGACTGGGAACGACCTCACAGTGGAGCGCACCTACAGCCACGGCCGTGTGGGGCACCTGAGGGGTCAGGAGGCAATTAGGTTTTCATTCACAGTAAGATGTGTAACAACATTTGAGGAGATGAAAAAAATCATTAATCAGTGTTTCAACTGCAATAAAACTGCGATGATTAATCACAATAAATTAGGATCATGAGTAAGACTAATCATGATTAATGCACAGCTAACCATAATTAATCAGATTTTTTTTTTATATTTAGGAATGTTAAACCTGGAATAAGGGGTAAAGAATGGATGGGTTTATTTCAATTAATCACAATTAGTTATGACTGAAATTAGATCAGTGCTGTGATTAATCAATTCTAAAATGGATATAATTTCATAGTCAATATACTTTTATGATGATTATCATTAGTGGTAAATGTATATTTATTTAACCTGATAGGGAGTGAGGCTGTGCAGAGATTTAACTGGTCCAGGATCAGGAGACTGTAACTGACTCAGGTAGGCCAACAAGGACAGGTCTCTGTGGTAATTACTGCGCTGGTGTTTCCTGTCACACAACAAACAAACAAACACAGGTTAAAGAGAATTTGTGGACTAAATTATGGGACTTCTGTTGACTCAGGCTCACAGTAATAAACTTACGCTGTTCCCTGACGCGCTACACCTTGAAACTCTGACTGTACCATGAGGTGGGTGTAGTTTTTGGCGGAGCTTTGGCTCTGTGTAAACTCATCCAGTGCAGTCTGAGCTGGCGGGTGCGTTTGAAATCCTTGTGCGGTCCGAAGAAACTCTGGTGTCAGGGCCGGACACTGGGTGACCCCACTGTGACACAGCTGCACCACGTGTGTGACTGGGAAGATCCGCATCATGTCGACAAGCAGCTGGAACCCAAACCCTGTGGACGGTTAATCACATTAACGCGGTGTTTCAAACTCTCATTTCTTATGGTTGGTTTTATTTCCCGTCACCGACCTTTCACCCAGCCCATGGTGTTGATGACGATGGGAGTCTCTCGGCTCTGGGAACGCCGACGCCACAAGGTTTTCAGGGACTCCAGGTATCGGTCCAGGTCAGATTCGCACGACGTCTGACCATAGTAGATCATGTGCTCTGGCGCTCTCTGGTGTGTGAAAGGTGGACCTGATAAACACAGATGGAGTCAGTCTGCTTATTTAACCATAGTCTTTGTTAAAGTAAACCTGTGCTTTATTTTAGTTATGCTGTATATATGTGCAATATTCAAATTGATTGTAATCGTAAGTTTTTACATGTTTTTTACATAAACATACCCAAGAGTGGTTCTCTGACAACAGACATTGACTATTGTACAAATTTTTTACATGTTTTTTACATAAACACACCCAGGAGTGGTTCTCTGACAACAGACATTGACAGACAGCCAGCGGGAGTGAACTCTGTTTGGCCGAGGTCGCCTTCCAAATAATCAACACAGGTGGTACTGTAGACATAAAGACAAGAAAACGTTAGATCACACCATCATTGTTATTCTTTTTTACATCTCTTTCTCTATGTGTGCCTATATTAACAGCAAAGGTGAGGAAACCGTGTGGAGGTGGAGATATAAACTTCCAGTAAAGTGTATTTTTGTCCTGTCATGGAAGTGTGGGATAAACTTACTGATTAAGCAAAGTGTTGATAAGTTGGCGGATAAACGTCGACTTGCCCACATTCTTGGTGCCACACACAAAGATGACAGCACAACCATCCAATGCACCTGTAAATGACAGGTGTCAGTACCACTCACGTAAGAGGTTGACTTCCTATATCTATTCCCTATGAATAAACATTGATTTATCAATGAATCTCGTATGGTTGAGATGTTCCTGCTAAAGATTTAGAACTTTTCTAACCTTTGCAGGCACTGACCACTGTGCTAAGTGCTTCTTTGCAGGACCTGGACATGTGCAGGCCTTCAACAGTGCCCCCCAGAGGAATAACACCCAACCCATTGAGAGGAGTGTCAAGAACAGCCAACATAAGTTCACTCTGTAAAACAGGCGTTAAAACAAAATAGTTTAAGTGAAATTACTTTGTAATGTCAGAGACATATGCATGTATATATATATATATATATATATATATATATATATTTTACCTTCAGTGGGCTGAATAATTCATTGAGATCTGAGAAGCTTGACAGGAACCGTGTGAGAGGAGTCTCGATGGGCTCCAGTAGGATGATGGATGAATGAGATCTCACCCTTTTGAGCAACTTTTTCTGTGATGCTACAAAAAAAATTCAAATCCAGAACTACAATTTAAACAACAGGCTCATAGGTAATATTCTCTAAGACAATTCACAAATGTGTAATAAAAAGACAAGACAAGATAAAACCAGCGTGCGCCTCAGTCACCTGACGAAAGATACTTTCGAAGGATGGGTGAAGCTGCTGCTTTGTCATCTCTGGGATTTGCTGGGCTTTCCAGTGCTGTAATAGCCAGGGGACAATGTGAGGCTGGGGAGAAGAGTGGATATGACTGTTGGCCTTCTTCAATAGTGAATCCCATCACTTCTACCCGACCGTACAGACAGGTCAGAAAGCATCGGCCACGGAAACAGAGCGTCTGTAGAAGAGAAAACACATTCTTCAACTACAACTCAGTTCCCTTTTCTTTAATTAAAAATGACACCACAGTTTACCTGATTGTTCTGCATGACAAGTACTGCATGGTTCTGCTGACTAGTTCTCGCTGCACAATACTGGAGATTCTTTCCTTCTAGTCTACCTGGCCGATCCTCCTCGCAGTCAGCAGAGGTCTCTACACCGTTCCTTTCGACAGACTGAGAATACTCCTTCCACTCCTGAGAGTTATCAGAGTCACTGTCCATGTTAAACGCTGAACCCCCATTGATCTGACTGTAGGATTTTTTCAGTCCTGACTCTGAATTGATTTTCTTTGTATTAGACACGGGCTTTGCTTTATTTTGCAGCCTCTTAACATTAGGCTTTTTCTTGGTAGCTGCCTGATGCTCTCTTGACATCTTGGCCAGAACTGGAGTCGAGTTAAGTTCAGAGGAAGTAACGGTTGGCCTGCACCGTTTCCCTCGGACATCCTTCCACTTCTGGGATTTAGCCTGACTCTTGGCCTGTGCGGTTCTGTTCACCTTCATTGTCCAGACAACAGTCTTTCATGTGGGTGAAGATAAAAAAAACAAAACAAACAGGGAGCCTGCAGAAACGAAGACTGATTAAGAAGATTGTAGACATTATTACAGTTTTGTTTTCCCATATTTTTATAACATCTTCAGTGGAAACATATTTTACTTGTACATACATATAGTCTACCAAATATGGAATGAAACAAGTTTTATTTTAATGTGTAAAGTATTAAGTAAGTTAGTACTTACAACTTTTACGTAGAAAAAGTGGATAGATTAATTTTTAATCATTGATAGGTAAAACATTTCTGGGTTTTTTGTTTGTTTGTTTTTGAGTGACAGTGGCAAGCTATCATATGTTTTACATGGAACATTGAGACCAGTGAAAAGCTACCATATGTTTTACATGGAACATTGAGACCAGTTATAATCAACCGCGACATGTAACTTGACACTAGATGTTGCAATACAGTTACAGTCTCCTAAATTAACTTAACTAAAGATTTTTTCTTTAGTTAGTAATATTTCTTTATTTGACCTGTCTGTACCACACGAGATTAATTAACATGTTGAAGATTAATGTGAGTAAAGAAAAGGCAGGTGAATAACTGAACAAAACAGTGTCAGGTTTTTTTAATATAAATATAATATATAATATTAACAATAGGTGTAGGTTTCCTACAATATTAATACATTATTCGCCCAATTTCAACGCAGCTAGTTCAAAGTAAACGGAAATTAATTTGAGACACATGGCTGTACTAACCAAGCTAAATACCATGTAAAACGTTTGAATTTATAATAGGGTGTCAGACGCTGCAACTTAAGCGTCATTCAATCCAAAATAAACCTAAACGTTTAAAAGAAACATGACCAGTGGATTTTAAACCAAGCGTGAAGTTTTTATAGAGCAACAACCACAGCTTTGGCTGCACACTAGCGTTAGCCAACTATGCTAGTTGCAATTATTTAGCAAAAAAACTTACCACCGCTGGTGAAATGAACGGCTTATCTGGTGGTTATACTAATGACTTTAAAACACAGACGGGGTTCATAATTGGCCTAATAGAACCATCATTGCGGGTCTATTGTTGACACTGCAGTGCTATCATGTTAGCATACATGTGTGAGCCACAAACAGACACGGCGTTTAGATGGTCGACTGCGAGTTACCCGGAGTTCAGTTTTTCCTCGATTGTCCTATTCACCTAAATTATTCCATTAATTCGACAAAAAACAGTCTTTAAATATTGTAAAAACTAGTTTTGAAATAATCATATGGCGTTGGAATTTTTAATAATATAACTTTTGCGGTTGGTGTTTTATAAAATGAGGACAACAAACATCTTTCTCTGTGTTTAATATGCGTCATTTCCTCTTCCTTTAGCAAATCTTAGGGGTATTCAAAAATGGAAAACGAAGGTGTACATAGCTTTAGCATTTTTACAGTTTGACAATATCACGTTAATTGGCAGTGCATTTTATACACGAAGAGTACTCAATATTCACTTTCGCTCGGCTCTGCGCATGGGAACGTCAAAATTCTGTTGTCGGGTGAGTGCCTTAGCTAAGGGAGCGTCTTCAAAGGTCTCGGCTGGGAAATAAACGTTTGGGTGCGCAGGTAGCCATAGATGTGAAATGTTTCTAAAATACTTATGCATCAGTAGTAATAATTAGAAAATTCACTTTTGTACCATATTCTGTCACTAAAGTGATAATAAATAAATACTTTGCCGAGGAAAGAACAAATAGTACTTAGTCACAACAGACTTGTAGTGCGGCTACTTACATATAGTGCAAATGCACACGTTAGGATTGATCATTAGTTGTACTTCACTCATTTGATATCCACATATTGATTTATATGAAATAAATAATTCCAAGATATTATGTGTGCACTGTGTTAGTTAGGGACGTGTTGTATAAACTGTATGTGTGTGTCCTGCAGCAGTCACCAGTGAAGCTGCAGAGATGCATGCAGGGAGCAGCCATGCAGAGAGAGTCCTATACAGCCTGAATCAGCAACGAGCAGCAGGAAAGTTTTGTGATGCAGCCATAAATGTGGGGGATGGAGCTCTGATCTACGCCCATCGTAACGTCCTGGCCTGTTTCAGTGAACTGTTCCAGAACCCCAGTAGTCCCACTTCAATGAGCATTGAGATATATCTGCAGGAGTGTCCCAGTGATGGTCTGGAGCTACTGCTAAACTTTATGTACACTGGACAGTTAAAGCTTGATGCAAACAACCTGAGTCAGGTGACGAATGCGGCAGCCAGCCTGTGCATACCTGAGGCCCTCGTGCTCTGTCAGCAGTTTGACTCCCGCAGCTCTGCCGCAGCTCCACCACCTGTTAAGCGTAAAAGAGGGAGGCCACGAAAAGCTGTGTCACAAACAACTCCTTATAACTCAGTCAAGGAAGAGAACCTGCTGACAGACACCAAAGAGGAGTTCCAATCTGACGCAGTCAGCGCTGGTGTTGATGACCTCACCAGTACTGCCCTGACAACAACTACTCGTTCTGGTCGAGTAGTGAAGGGCCCCAGGCGACTGGTGACTGATGGGAATCCAACCATTGACTTGATAACATCTGAAACATCTAGCAAGAAGATCCTAGATATTCCCTTGGAAAAAGAAGGTTGGGATGTTGTGGATCACCAAAATACAGATGGAACGACTGGAGAAACACAGGTAGAGTTGATGAAACCAAACTAGGTTTAAGCACCAAAATGAACCTGTACAAATACTAAAGTCAGATATTATTATTTCCAACGACAGATTGCTATTATTGAAAACAGTAGTAGCCTGAAAGGCCAGGCAGCAGAGGGAGATGATCACGATGACGATCATGACGAAGAGGTGACGGAAGACTCAGATGAAGATTACGTGCCAGATTTCCAGCCGGCTTCTTCTGCTGCCTGCACATCGACATCACAAAGACGGAAGGCCAAGAGTGACGCGATGATGATGGAGAATGGCGAGGATGGGGATGATCAGGCCAAGAAGGACTCAGTGCAGTGTCCAATCTGTGACAAATCCTTTAAAAGTAAATACTACCTTAAAGTCCACAACAGGTATAACTTTCTAATATTTTTTTTCCCTGTAAGTGTGTGATACTAGCTTTGAATCCCAGTGAATATTTATTTATTTTTCACAGGCGACACACCGGGGAGAAGCCTTTTGGTTGCTCTAAATGTGGGAAGAGATACTTCAGGAAGGAGAACCTTATAATACATGAGATAAGAGATTGCTCTAAAGTTACTGTGAGTAAATCAATCAAAATCAAAAATGCTCATAGACAACAAATATTTATGCATATGTATTATTCAGAAAAGGTTAAAACTGTTCTTATCCAACAATAAAATATTAAATATTTCAAGGGCCCTAAGACTATGACTTGCGGACCCCACGGATCTGCGGGCCTCTAGTTGAGGACTACTGCTATATAGTATATTTAGTAATATTTAGTATTAAGTAAGTTTTTTTATTATGTATTATTTCACAGTAATGGACAAAGACTAATGAAGGATGAATAACCTTTGTACTACAGTATGTATAAAAAATATCATGTTTCTGCTACGTTGTCGTTCCAGACCTACAGCTGCACGAGATGCTCCTCAACTTTTGATGAAAAAGAGCAGCTACGTTTGCACATGGCCTTCCACACTGGAGACATGCCATATAAGGTGACACTGATTCACCCATGCAGCAAATATCAACGATGAGACAGTATCGATTTTCAACATTGTGCTTTTTTTTCAACAGTGTTCTTTGTGTCCAGAGCAATTCTTGTACAAGAAAAATTTGTCATTTCACATGATGAAGATTCACGGTTTCCCAAAACCTCACGCAGTAAGTTTTTGGTGACATGCTGATGTCGTCATGGTTTCAATAATGTTTCTACTCTTCCTTTATGTTAAATTATTTTTCTTTCAATCTTTAGTGTCCCCAGTGCCCAAAAACATTCTTAACCAAAACAGAACTGTGCGTGCACGAAGCAGCCAAACATCGAGGTGAAAAGCCGTTTGTGTGCGAGGAGTGTGGACACCGGGTGTCCAGCCGAAATGGCCTGCAGATACACATTAAAGCCATTCACAGGTAGAAGGACAGGTTCTGTTGGATTTGGCATCCATGCAAATGTTATAACAGGAATATAATGGAGTGTTAATCATTAACAGTTCCTGTGCTTCTTTCCTTTGCCAGAAAGGAGAAACCGTATATTTGCATGTTATGCGGCCACGCATTCGCCCAAAAGAACAATCTTAACATGCACATGCGAATACACAGCGGCGAGAAGCCGTACCAGTGTCATATGTGTGGTAAAACCTTCAGGACACAAGGTAACTGCCGTTGTTGCTACTTTGTCAAAATGTATCAATTCCCCTCCCACTGATGACCTCACCAATTTTTTTTTTTACACCAGCCAGTCTAGACAAACACCATCGGACACACACCGGTGAGCGCCCCTTCGGCTGTGACATCTGTGAGCAGCGTTTCACAGAGAAAGGCGCTCTGGTCCGGCACAAGGCCAGCAAACACGAGGAAGGTCGTCCCCACTGCTGTCACGTGTGTAGTAAAACTTTCAAAGGTGAGATGCTTCGTCAGCTGTTAGCCGTTAGCACAGTAGCTTCCAGATTCACTCATCATGTTTTTCACTGTGTGGTTTTTCATCATCAGCTAAAGAGCAGCTCCGTGTTCATGTGCGTCGCCACAAGGGCATGAGGAAGTTTGAGTGCAACGACTGTGGATACAAATTTACCCGACAGGTAGGTTTCACTGCTGTATTTCCAAGAACTACATTTAGCATCTGGTAGCAAATAAGGCAGTTCTACTGACTGCAAAAAACAGCTTCAAACAAATGGACGTTTGTTGAGAGTTTAGTCAAAATCAGTTTGTCTATTAGCCAACAGTTGATCCACCTCTCTAACAGAATAATTGAACAGAATAAATGTATATAATGGGCTGTGTTTAGGATGAAACAATAAATAAAAAATATCAGCCACCCCAGATGGGACTCGAACCCACAATCCCTGGCTTAGGAGGCCAGTGCCTTATCCATTAGGCCACTGGGGCTGTTGCCTGTGATGTTGCTGACCACAAAAAAGAACATTTTCATTCTCTGACCAGCTGGTCAAGTGACTTTGATGTTGAATATATATATACTGTATATATATATATATATATAGTATATATATAGTAGTTAGATTTATTGATGCGGTCCAAGGTCTGTCCACAATAGTGAAGATATACAGTGTATACATATATATGAAATATTGTGAAGTTCTCCCTAAATTAGTTGTATTTATTTTCCATAATTATAAATTGACCCAGAAATCCGAGCAGACCATTTATAAGCTCTCTGTGCTCGTTTGTCCTCCAGGCACACCTGAGAAGACATATTCAAATCCACAAACGAACAGAGAACTACAACCCGCGGCAGAGGAAACTGAGGAACGTGATAGTGCAGGATACTGAAAGAAATTCTGCTGACGGTCAGTCTTCTAAATCAAAAAAGACGGGCCCCGGGACCCCCGAGCATGAGGAGGGGTACGTCCAACACACCAGTGACTCCGTACGTCAGAGTGACGTCTCGCCTGAACACGGCTCCAGCTGCATGATGAGGGTGGAGCTGGAGCCCAGCCACCAGGTGATGGAGGTGGTCGTTTCTGACCAGAGCCACGCCGAGGCTTCCAAGAGTTTCTCTGTTCCAAACGTCCTGGAGCAATCAAAGCTGATCACTGAGGCGTACGAGTTCACCGTCAACATGGAGGACATCGCAGAGAGTGTGTCAGAGAGGACTGAGGTCTAGGTGGACATCTGTTGTCTTACCCAGACCATACCCGTTGTTCATGTCAAACATGTCTTGCTTAAGCCATTTATTTTGGACGTGTAGACATGGAGCGGTGTTGCTGGAGTGGTAGACATTGTTGAAAATGATCAATATTATCATAACAACCTCAATAAAAATAAATCCAACTGAGCACTGTCCAAAACAGAACATAAGTACTTTGGAATTTACTTTGAATTGGTTGGTTTTTGAATGATAACAATATTTTGTTTTTCAACTTTAACTAACTCTAACTTCCCTTGCCCTTGAAATGCGGATCCAATCCTATAACCTCGCTCTAACTTCCCTTGCCCTTAAAATGCGGATCCAATCCTATAACCTCGCAAAAGGAATACATCTAGGTCATTATTGATCGTCTGCTAGATATAAGAGAAGAACATCATACCGTCATATCATATCACACTTTTTTTTGTCAAACAAAACTTTATTTGCTCACGTCTCTTTTAAAAGAAACTCGAAATAACCCCTCTCTGTTCACCCTGTTTATAAGGCACAGAGGTGGACATTCACACAGCTCACACTCTTGTGATGCTCACATCTGCCTGCAGTTTCACTACAGCTACTACTACTGTAAACATGGACACAGAACATGACGGCAAGAGTACACTGACTTATAAAACTAGTTAAAAAAAAACCCAAGCTGGTGTAAAAACCAAGAAAAATGAATAATGCAATAAAACAGCATGAACGACAAGTAATAAAACAACACCAGATTAAACTGAGACTGTGGGTTTTCCAGTTGAGAGCTCTGACCTTTCATTGGCCAGTTCTTCATGGCCAGGAGGAGCTTAAGAAACCACAGCACAACCGTGTCCATAAATAAACACACAATAACACAGTCATAAATAAGGTCTGCATGCTCATTCAGCTGTTGGCTACAGAGGGAGTTATACTTTGTTTTCAAGGTCAGGACTGACACATGGGGGCTCAGTTCAGCCACAAGTACAAAAAGTAATGTTATGAATTAGCACTAGCATCAACTCAAACTAAAAGTTTAACACTCAGTGATAAGTTTTCTGCCTAATTAGTGCTAAATTATGACTGCTGGCGTTCATGGAATGTAGACGTATCGTGTCTCTGTATGAACGGAAGCGAGAAGCTTCTCAGAGCATGTCTCTGAACGGAAGCGAGAAGCTTCTCAGAGCTGCTGTTTCATGCCAATAATTAAGCATAGAGTTTTGATCGGCCACTGACATGTCAGGGGAAGATCTGAGTTATTCTGGTAGCTGCTTATCTTAGCTGCAGCCTCAGTTGTCAGGTCGAAATGACTGCGACTTTTATTTAAATTCTCCTTCAAACAATCCTTCATTTCTTTTATACCATGTCATACTGTAACACAACAAAAGGCCTCCATTCATATTTATATTGATTTTCATGAGGACGTCTTCAAACAAGTGCATTTCAAGGAGCTCAGATAATGCCGTGAACGCTGACTCATCGTTTTAACTTTACGGCAAGGTGAGATCCCAGTAAACTAACGACGCTACATCGAGTCAGGACAGACTCAAAACATGCGGGGGTGGGGGTGTTATAGTCCAAGATCAGTGTCCAGGGTTCACTTCTTGGTTCTGGTTGAGATTGTTGTTTATATTGTGGAGCGCATGTTGGCGCTGATGACGGTGCAGGTAAATGGAGTTAGAATCGGGGATGTCGGTGGGTTGAAATGTGCTGGACACCTGGGGCATGAACTGACGGAATATGCTGACACTGTTGTGCCAAAAGGTCGGCTGAGGTAGTCGCCCAGCCTGAGACCAAGTGCGGGTGGTAGGGTCGTAGGCCTCCACCATGTCTGACAGCTCAAATGTAGTGTCGTAACCACCAGAGACGTATAATTTACCACCTAGGACTGCCACGCTGCTTCCACCGTGGACCTGGACAGAAGAAAATGAGAAGATTAAAAAATGCTTACAATATATTTGATAACACCCTATCAACTCAAAAATGGCAGTATTCTAAGTGTGTAAAAATCCAACATTGTCGCAGAGATCAACTGTGTGTGTGTGTGCAGGCGGTCTGAATCTCCATTTCATCAATATAGAAGTTAAGTCATGTATTTCCTTTAAGTGCTTTTACATTCACTATCATTTATTTGTTATGTAATTTTATTTTCAATCTATTCTGAGTTTATGACTGTAGTTACTGTCATCCACGGATCAACTAGAGTGAAGCTCACACCTGTTTACAGAGATCAGAAAAATGCTGAGCGGCTCAGCCAGAAAAAGAACAAATGTGAAATACAAACCTTGTTCATGCGTCCGATTTTTTCAAACTTGTTCTTCTGAGGATTGTAAACGATAACATCCGCCGAGTCGTCGCTGCCAATAGAGAAACATCACACTGTCAAAACATGCCATGCTTCAACTGCACTTATACTCATGTTTCAGTTTGTCCTCGGTCTTTTAAATACTGAATCCAGATGTATTGAGTTTGTATCTTCTAGCTACAAATAACAGCAAATGTCTGTGATTTTAAATTTTTTGTTAGGGAACCAGAACCAGAAGTGTTTTGTGCAGGGCATATACAAAGAGTTTCCTGCTGCATGAAATGTCCAGCAAACACTACTGTTTTCTTTAACAACTGAGAAAGCCCTTAACTTCTCTCTCGTTCAGTGCAGACTTTTCTTCAGCTTATGCTAACATTCATAGTTTAAACTTTAACTTATATTTTAGATATTCAACACAATTTTGTGTATTTTGTTGTACCTGATGAAATATATGAGTCCATTGAGAGTCACAGTTTTGGGCGTGAAGGACCATGCAGGCAGCGGTCCACAGCTGACCATGCACCAGCGGTTGGTGTCTACGTCATAGACCTGCATGGTCATCCTGTCCTCCTCGGTCAGGCGGCCTATTGCATATAGGTGACCGTTACATGCGGTGGTGCTGCAGTTGTCCATGGGATGCAGCATCGCTGGCAAAGCCTCCCAGCAGTCCAGAGAAGGATCGTAGCGCTCAGTGCTGTCTGAGGCAACCACGTACAGCTGCCCCTTGAGTACGGATGTGCTGTGGTACTCGTGGGCCTTCAGCATCGGGGAAACCTCTGTCCACTCGTTCACGCTGGACTTGTAGCGCCAAACGCAATCGTAGAGGCGAGAGCCATCGGAGCCACCTGAAGGCAGCATGGAAAACAACTTAGGTTGACTGCTGCTTTGCATATTACAACAACTTTGACATAAAACAGAAGCTATTACTGCCAACATGTTTAATCTCTAAAACATCACACTGTTGACTGTAGGTTTATTTACATGTGTAAAGTCACAGGGTTGCTCATCATTAAAACATCAGGTATATTTACATGTGTAAAGTCACAGGGTTGGTCAAAGAAAAGAACGAAATGTTGTGTAGTTCTTCTGAAAGCCAAAAAATTATCAGACAGAAAAAAAAATCACCCGCTTTATGAGTTTTTTAAGCATAAAAAATGGGCGTTAAACCAGTAAAAGATGATCTGCATAAAAATTATGCAACTTACAAATAATGGAGATTAGAAAAAAACTGTGTTAGCCACACCATGATATCCACTCCAAGAGCAACATCAACCAAGCCAAATCAAAAATGTAATGGTTCAGTGTTTGATGGCTTACCTGTAACGTACATATCATTTCCAAGGGCCGCAATACTGTAACCTCCACCCAGGTGGTCAGGGAATTCCGCTAAGTATCGCCATTGTCCGGTCTGAGGGTTGTAACAGTCCACAGTGACCAGGTCGTCACAGTCCTGGTCACAGCCTCCTATCACAACCAGGATTTCTGCCAAACCCGTGGACGGACGTGGTTGCATTCGGTGGCAGGGTCTGTCGTGACGGTCGTACTCACAAGACTGGAAGCTCCGAGCTTCGTTCACCATGCGTAGGCAGGTTGGTGACAGGTACACAAGTGGGTCACTCTCTACATAGGCCAACAGGAAGAACCTTCTGACGAAGGGGAGTCGGACCTGCTGGAAAAGCTCTGGCCAGTAATGCAGTCTTCTCTTAAGGTCAGCCTTCACCCAGCGAACTGCAATTTGGTAAACTGTCTCCTCCTTGTCCACGCACAGATCACTGTCTGAGATAAACTCCAGCAAACGCTTCCAGGATAACATCTCAAAGTCTGTCCCTTTAGCCAGTTCCATTATATTTTTCAGGACAAATTTGCGAGCACTCGTTGCCAGCTCTCGGCAGGCGTAAGCCTCTGCAAAGTCCTGGATCTCTAAGCAGTTGGTAACGTCCAGCCGCTGTTCCAGAAAGGCACAACAAGCCTCTTTGACTGAAGGAAACTGAAAAAGATCAGCTGTTTTCAGAAGAACGTCCACATTTTCCTGAGTCACTGTCACCCGTCCTGTGTAGCAGAAGTCCACCAGCAGACCCAGAAGCTCAGCCGACACCTCGTGAAGAACCACCCGATCCATTACGCTCTCCTTCAACGTTCCTGCAAACATAGCCCGGAAGTAGGTACTGGCAGCAGCCAGTACGGTGCGGTGACAGTGAAATTCTCGTCCCTCGGCACACAAAGTCACGTCAAAAAATTTTCTTTCAGCTCTCAGTTCATGGATCCCCCGCAGCAGGTTAAAGGCATGGGCTGTATCGAAAAAAGGCAGGGAGGACGACTGACTCTGCAAAACTGGCTTTTCCATCGTTCCTCTCTTTTGCTGATGAAATCTCTGCTTAAAATGAAATTTTCATCTGAAAAAAAAAAAACATACATCAAATACTGCACATACCATATATTTTGATTATTTTCTTGAATGATAAGTGATTGTTAATACTTATATTATAAATTATAAATTATCACAAAGTCAGGAAATACATTTAAAAATCCTCACCAAATGTAGTTTCCTTTATTATATACTGTATGACACCAAATATTACTACCGTCAATCAATAGGTGTCTACATGAAATTTTAAAAAGTGGAAAAAAGACCAAATTAAAACCTTAAAATTTTGCTAACTGATAAATGTTAACAGTTTAAAACAAGGCAAAACATGTTACCAACATCAAGTTCACTGGTCCAAACAAAGCGACCACGTTTCTTTATCTTTAGACACTACCTGTTTCGACACGTACCTGATGAGATCGTCCAGACAAGATTCAAAAGAACAGTAACAGTCCAAGCGCCGTCTAGCATATGACCACGAGGCTTGCACAACCCTTGTTAATATGACCAGATCCCTCACTGTGTTTAAGATAGAGCGCTTGCTCAAGCTGATGGGCTATAAATACACTGGCAGTGTCCATTTTCAGTGAAGTGGGGGCTATGGCGAGAACACCTATCATTCCATGAGCTTACACTGTGAGTAACCCCTCCCCCGCCTCGGCAGTATGTCCGAGGTTAGTCACAATGAGTAAGTGGTCTTCCAAAGAAGCCACAGTCAAGTCCAGGATACTTCACAGAACAAGGAATGACATGTTGTACCAATCATACAATTAGTCAGTGACTTTCTTGACATCAGTAGAAAAAAATCTCATTTATTTCTAATTGGTCCCTTACTAGAGTTGAGACAAAACAATCTTTACAGTGATTATAAAGTCAATGACAAAACAATCTTTACAGTGATTATAAGTCACTTTCTACACTTTACACAAAACCTAGTTGTATATATTTATTTTAAACATATTTAAATAATGATCTAATAGGACCTAGCTTAGAAAGACAACTGGTCCATGTAAACATACGTACGTATATTCTTCAAATGTTCGAGGGTCAGAACCTGTTTAACTGACAACTCTCAACTGGCTGTAGATACAGTATAAACGTAAGTTTGTTTGTTTGTTTTTTATCTGTATGTAGCCTTAAAACGAACCGATGAACTCTTTGAGGTAAACTGCACTTTTCATCCAAACCAGCTGGAATCTACACTTCCTCTTCCCCCACAGCAATGAATAAATCAGAGCTAGAAAGAGGAATGAATAAACACGCCAGGATGACTTTGATTTATGTGCATGTTTGCATGTAATATCCAAATATCAAGCTTGATTTGTGGTTTGAAATTCCAAAACAGAGATGTTAGAAAGAAGTAAAATAACATCAGTAACATTCATAACATCAGCTGACTTGCTAAGAGGCTGTATTTCTGTTCAGTGTTTACAGATACAGTATGTCCTTTCAGAGATTTGAAACAGGTTGTCCTAAAGCCTTTAGTCTTCTGAGCAGGGGACGTAGCGGACATTCCACACCAGGGACTCAACACCGCAATAGTCCCAATAACTTTTTTTTGAGGTTTGAAGTGGCCTCACAACTCAGATCAGCACTGAAACAAAACACTTTCTGAATGGGAAAAAAAGCTCCTTTATAAGAGATCTGTATTATTATTACATTATTACTATTTAAACTACTCTACATTATTAACAACATCAAATTTGTTTAGATTTAGGCCATACATAATTTATCTTTTAATATCATTTTTATTCATTTTAGTCATGTTACGACATCATTTCTCACAGAATGTTGTCACCTAACAGTACCTCTCAGTTCTCTGTTTATTTAGTGAAACCCAACTAAAATATGTATATGAATTGGTTCCCATACACACACAGAGTATGTCATGAGAAGATACTTGTACTTGTAAGGATTTCTAAAAGTTTTATATAAAAAGTTATATGGTCAGCCTTAGTCACAGCCTGTAATATGTATAGGTTAAACTTGCAGCACTCACAGGTATGACGTCAAGTCACAATATGCATGTGTACTACCAGGAATAGCTTAAAGAACTCTATACTCTCATAGGGAAGGGGGAGAGAGAAGGTGAGACAGAGGGTGTGGAAACAATCTCACTGCTTTGATGGATTAAAACAGAGAGTCCAGTGTAACAGCCAGACAACCACACGCACAGATCAGCTATATTTACAGAGGGTTCTTTTATAGAGAAGGTTCCTGGAACTTCTTCAGTACAGTCAGGTTTTGAACTTTTAAATTGCAAACACAGAATACTTGGTTAAAATGAGGTCTCACACAGTCAGGATGTGTCCAGGTGTGACGATGTCACATGGTTATTATACTGACTATTTTGTCATATTTGAAAAAAAAGGCTGACTGATAACAGTTTATGTACTTACAGCTCTGACTGAAACAGCAAAAAAAGGCTGACTGATAACAGTGTATGTACTTACAGCTCTGACTGAAACAGAACTGTTAAACTAAACACAATGGAAGCATTGTCTTCTGTTTCCAAATGTGTTTCAATCTAAAGGGTTATTTTTTGCTGGAAGGCGTGTCTTCCGACATTCAAAACACTGTGGCCTCTAAGAGTATGTTGGTTTTCTAGTACTCTACATGAATTTATTTAGGAGCCTTACTCTAGCAGAGTGGTTCCTTCGCACCAAAGGCTTTTGTCAGTGTTGCCCCTTACTGGTGTGAACTTCAAATTACAACAAATCATTGTAATTTCTTTCAATTTCTTTCAATTTCAGAATGAATCCGTTTTTTCTTCATACTTGTTCCCACACATTTAAACTAGAGATTTGTAGGTTAGTAAGTATAACAACAAACGCAACAGAGATAAACATCAACCGTATCATTTTCTTCTGCATTTATATCAACGCACTAAATCAACAGCTTATAACCAAAGCTTTAAAACCACACGTAGACATCTGCTCACTCTGCTGTTACTGCAGGCAGCTGGATAGGAATGAAAACCATCAGAGTGGAGCGACATAAAGACCTTGTTCTCCACAGCAGAGTCTGGCCTGGCCATAAAAAGGCACACAGTCAGCTTCACAGACAGAGGACTTGTTTCATTCCCTACTGAGTATGGTAACACTGAGAGTGACATGACTGAGCAAAGTAGACGGTACAGTTAGGGATAAGACGTTGGATATAATGACATGATACGGTATGACATGATATGATATACAACATGATATGATACATTTTAAATAAAGTTAAAAACATGATCCTCGGTCATTGTAATGGCATGCAAAAGCTAAGTTTCGGGATGTACTTCGGTACTAATATCCCTATTTGGTACATTTCTGGTATGACAAAAAATGTGGTAGAGACGCCTTTTTTTTCCCACACTGTTATGTTCCTAGGGCATTGTGTGTATTCGATACACAAGGCTAATTTATGCTAATCGCTGTCTCAAGTAAAGTTGCAGGGAGAAACTGAATGACTCATGGGAGCAGTGTTTGCATCTCAAGTTGGTTCCATTCTGCATCACCATGGTTAACCAAATTTGGGTCATTGTCCACGAAATCCTTACAGGTTAAATGTTTTTCCTTTGTGCTTAGACTTTCAGGAAAATGTCTCTCAGTCTGTTCGGGGAAATCCAGGAAAAATGACCCTTAGCTTACACTCACATGCCTGGTTTCTGCTTTTCTACCAGGGATGCAGAAATGTCTTGGTTAAAGTACAACTGCATTCCAGTAATTCCTGCTCATGTGAGATGGAGCCTTTATATAAACACACTGTATGCAGTGAAAGAAGAATTCAAATGCTTCTCCTAAACCACATTATCAACCTGGGAATGCAAATTTAATTCTTGGTGGATAGATGCATCAACAGTTTGCCAACCCTGCATTACACGGTTAAATAATAATCATACTTTCAGCTGTTTAAATTCATGTAGAAATAAAGTCGACATGTTTTATTAGCATTTAATGATGGCAGGAGAGTAAAATATAAGTACTTCTTTTGTTTCTAATGACTAATAACAGAGGCACAGGTGAGTGTGATCGCACTGATGAACTCCACAGCAGACACAGCAGGAGGGAAGGGAGACAGAACAGACCTCACATGAAGTACAGTTTAGTCGAAATTGTACTAAAGTACAGACCATTTTGTGGGCAGTTTATTTTCACCACTGCTAACAGTCATCTGAGTCATAAAGACAAACATGTTTACCAAAAATGAGCACAGAGAGAGGAACCATAAAGTATACTGGGAGATTAAAAAATCTAGAAGCGTAGTAGCTAATGCTACGTTACAGCTGACATATGACTACAAAATATATTTATAAATTATACGTTACTACTATACAACAACATAGCACAATGAAAACTACAGGGTAACTCACATCTGGCGGATTACTTTCGCCACAACATCTTACGCAAAAAGGTCCGCCAGTTTACAGGAATAGTAGCATTGTATTGTATTATACGGTGTTTTTATTACCATATGGCATTTATACCCTTACAGCAATAACCTGAAGCCTGATGTTTAATATTTAAAGCATAAACCTCTGGCTACGGTTCCAAGACAGCAACGTCAGGTTCACGACAAGCTGCTGTCGTTTCCTATGGGACATAGCTTGTGTCAGTCACTCCTGTGTAAAAATGTCACGACGTTAAACACCGGACAGTTCGTAGCGACAACTTACCAGAGTCTGTCTTCAGATGATGATCCTTGCAACAAAGCGATAACCCACGGAAAGAGGCTTATTTAAAGTTAGGACAGGGCCTGATCTGCGCCATGACTCCCTTCACTAACATACTGTATGTGGTGCTTTCACTAACTGTCGGAAATATCTCCCTCTCTCTCTTTCTTTCTTTCTTTCTCTCTCTCTCACTCTCACTCTCACTCTGTCTCACTTTATATATGTCTCTCTCTCTCTTTCTTTCTCCCTCTTTATTTGCTCTAATTTCTAAAAAGAAAAGTTCATTTAGAACTTTTTCAAGCAAAAGCCTGCCTTTAAAATGTTTTAATAATAGTAATAATAATGGATAAAATATCTTCTAAATATACTTTAAGAATCATTATTTAATACAATAGTTTTTCGTTTTAATCAGCAACCGAATCGGTAACTTTATTGAGTATTTATGCTATTTAGAGTTAGTTTGTATTTGTTCTGACAGAGAATTGTTAAAATTAAGTTTATTAAACTGTTGTTCGGTCATCCAGTCTACTAGTGGCGCTGTTGCAAAATTGAATTTTCTAGAAAAAAGGCGGGCACTCTATGAAGCGCGGTACTTTTTTTAAAGTCTGGGAGCATAGAGTGCGCAGCCAGTTACTTTGTGAGAGGAGCTTCATCTGCTCGGACTGTTTTACAGACTTGTCTCATTACATCATATAATACCGACAAGCCGTCATGGTAAGTCAAAATAAACTCAAAATCTGCTGCTTGATTTTACCTTTCAAAATTTCGTCCATTGTGCTTTAATAATGTCCAACATATTTTGTGTTCTACCTATAATCTTGATCTTATCTTGGCCTTAAATTTGCAAAATTGTGTCAGACTGAGGAAAATTCCAATTCAGAACACTGAATTAATAGGTACCAATAGTTTGTTCTTTTCCCGTACAACTGTTTTATAATATAGTTACATAAAGTTTGACCGCGGTCTCCAGCTCTACTTTACCGCCATTTTGTCGACAGGTTTTTTAATTACTAATACCGTTTGATATACCGTACTGTTATTTGTAAACAATTAAAAACAATTAAGCCATAGCCTTTAAAAGTACTCATTGTAATTGAGGGTTTTTCCAAAGTAGTGTTAAAACCTCGTGAGAGTTATTTGTCTGCTGGGTGTAT